TTGTAGGGTATTCTACAACGCATGCCTCATGTCATCGGGGTGCTTGGCTGTTGTTCATTGTTTTTGCAGCCATATTCCCCTGAGGATGTGGCATTGTATGGCCACTGCCCAACCGAAAGATTGAAGAAGGTGGCAGTGTGAGATTGGTTGCAGGGAATGTCAGCTCCCTAGGGAAAACCAATGGATCACAAGGTGTGTAAATATGCTTTTTGTGTACCACTTGGCTATACAGGTAAGAGCTTGTCCAGCAGTGGTGGGTACAGACTCCTTTAAATTATTTTTCCCACAATCCCTAGGACTCCTTGAAATGCCCAGGGGATTTAAATTCCAAGGGACTGGACATGTGCATTGTCTCCAGGCACTGGGCCTTCCAATGCCATATCTGACATGCAGGCTGCCAGCAAACACAAGAGCATGCAGCTTCTTCTTTGGAACTGGAGCTTCTGAAATCTCTAGAGGTGGACCATTTGGAACTGGACCTTCTGGAACCTTTGGAAATGGATCTTTTGGACTCTTTGAAGCTGAACCTTCTGAAATCTCTGAAGCTGGACCTTCTAGACTCTTTGAAGCTGGAGTTTCTGAAATCTCTGGAACTGGACCTCCTGGACCCTTTGGAACTGGAACTTTTGGACTCTTTGGAACTGGACTTTCTTGCCTCTTCGGAGCTGGACCTTCTGGCCTCTTCGGAGCTGGGCCTTCCGGCCTCTTCGGAGCTGGGCCTTCCGGCCTCTTCGGAGCTGGGCCTTCCGGCCTCTTTGGAGCTGGGCCTTCCGGCCTCTTTGGAGCTGGGCCTTCCGGCCTCTTTGGAGCTGGGCCTTCTGGCCTCTTTGGAATTGGACCTTCTGGACTCTTTGTAACTGAACTTTCTGAACTCTTTGGAGCTGGACTTTCTGAAATCTCTGGAGCTAGACCTTCTAGGCCCTTTGGAACTGGACCTTCTGGACTCTTGGAACTGGACCTTCTGAAATCATTGGAGCTGGACCTTTTGAAACTGGACCTTATGGAACCTTAGGAACTGGACCTTCTGGACTCTTTGAAGCTGAACCTTCTGAAATCTCTGAAGCTGGACTTTCTAAACTCTTTAAAGCTGGACTTTCTGAAATCTCTAGAACTGGACCTTCTGGACCCTTTGGAACTGGACCTTCTGGACCCTTTGGAACAGGTCCTTCTGGCCTCTTTGTAGCTGGACTTTCTGAAATCTCTGCAGCTAGACCTTCCGGGCCCTTTGGAACTGGATCTTCTGGACTCTTTGGAACTGGAGCTTCTAGACTCTTTAGAACTGACCTTCAAGACCTTTGGAACTGAACCTTCTGAACTCTTTGTAACTAGACTTTCTTGCCTCTTTGGAGCTGGACCTTCTGGCTTCTTTGGAGCTGGGCCTTCTAGCCTTTTTGGAGCTGGGCCTTCTAGCCTTTTTGGAGCTGGGCCTTCTAGCCTTTTTGGAGCTGGGCCTTCTAGCCTTTTTGGAGCTGGGCCTTCTGGCCTTTTTGGAGCTGGGCCTTCTGGCCTCTTTGGAGCTGGGCCTTCTGGCCTCTTTGGAGCTGGGCCTTCTGGCCTCTTTGGAGCTGGGCCTTCTGGCCTCTTTGGAGCTGGGCCTTCTGGCCTCTTTGGAATAGGACCTTCTGAACTCTTTGGAGCTGGACTTTCTGAAATCTCTGGAGCTAGACCTTCTGGGCCCTTTGGAACTGGACCTTCTGGACTCTTGGAACTGGACTTTCTGGACTCTTGGAACTGTACCTTCTGGACTCTTGGAACTGTACCTTCTGGACTCTTGGAACTGGACCTTCTGGACTCTTGGGACTGGACCTTCTGAAATCATTGTAGCGGAACCTTTTGAAACTGGACCTTCTGGAACCTTAGGAACTTAACCTTCTGGACTCTTTGAAGCTAAGCCTTCTGAAATATCTGAAGCTGGACCTTCTAGACTCTTTGGAGCTGGAAATTCTGAAATCTCCAGCAATGGATCTTCTGGACCCTTTGAAATTAGACCTTCTTTCCTCTTTGGAGCTGGACCTTCTGGCTTCTTCAGAGCTGGTCCTCCTGGACACTTTGGAACTAGTCCTTCTGGCCTCTTTGTAGCTGACCTTTCTGAAATCGCTGGAGCTAGACCTTCTGGGCCCTTTGAAACTGGATCTGCTGGACACTTTGGAATTGGACCTTCTAGACTCTTTGGAACGGGACCTTCTAGACTCTTTGGAACTGGACCTTCTAGACTCTCTGAAACTGGATGTTCTTGATGACTCTCTATGAACTGAACACGTTCCAACCAACAGTCAGTTGAGAATTATTGTCATTCGTAGCGAAAAAAAAAAAAAAAAGGACTCTTTGGAACCGATCCTTTTGGCCTCTTTGGAGCTGGACTTTCTGAAATCTCTGGAGCTAGACCTTCTGGGCCTTTTGAACCTAGATCTTCTGGACTCTTTGGTACTGGACCTTCTAGACTCTTTGGAACCGGACCTTCTAGACTCTCTGAAACTGGATGTTCTTGATGACTCTCTATGAACTGAACACGTTCCAACCAACAGTCAGTTGAGAATTATTGTAATTCGTAGCAATAAAAAAAAAGGACTCTTTGGAACCGATCCTTTTGGCTTCTTTGGAGCTGGACTTTTTGAAATCTCTGGAGCTAGACCTTCTGGGCCTTTTGAACCTGGATCTTCTAGACTTTTTGGAACTGGATCTTCTAGACTCTTTGGAACTGGACCTTCTGTACTCTCTTAAACTGGACCTTCTTGATGACTCTCTATGAACTGAACACATTCCAACCAACAGTCAGTTGAGAATTATTGTCATTCATAGCGAAAAGAAAAAAAAAAAAAAAGGACTCAGGCCAGAATAGTGGAGTAGTATAGAGATGTCTTGTTTATTTTCCAATTTCAGAATGAACAATTAACACGTAATAAAACAGAGCCCGAATGTACATCAATTTACATCTCCTATGTACTGTATATCGGGAGGTAATAATTATGCATTGACTGGATCAATGAAAAGCCAGCTACTTCAGTAAAACAAGCAAGAACAATGACATGCAGCAGCCAATAGCAACCGTTGTTTATGTATTCCCATGTTTGTGGGACCAAGTTCTGTTTTGGAGGACCATACTACTTGAAAGCAATCCCTGTAGACCCTTTTAGTAACATGTGATACCTATATGACAATATTTCTCTACCCACCGCCTCCCCCCCACCAAAGAGAATCTGAAGCTCATGGGGTAATTAATTCCCTAGAATGCTTATATCTCTTGAGTTCTTGGGTCTACAAACTTCAATGAGGGTCTTCCAACTCGTCCTGGTGGATTTTTATTTCATATTATGAAGCAGGGGTCTCCAAACTATGGCCCTTCAGGTGTTGAGGAACTTCAAGTCCCATGAGGCCTTGGAAGACTCTGACAGCCATAGGCATGACTCTGTGATGGCTCCATGTATCCTTAGACCAGGGGTCTCCAAACTATGACCCTCCAGGTGTTGAGGAACTGCAGGTCCCATGAGGCCTTGGAAGACTGACAGCCACAGGCAAGACTCTGTGGTGGCTCTATATATCCTTATGGGGTCTCCAAACTATGGCCCTCCAGGTGTTGAGGAACTGCAGGTCCCATGAGGCCTTGGAAGACTGACAGCCACAGGCAAGACTCTGTGGTGGCTCTATATATCCTTAGACCAGGGGTCTCCAAACTATGGCCCTCCAGGTGTTGAGGAACTGCAGGTCCCATGAGGCCTTGGAAGCCTCTGACATTTATAGGCATGACTCTGTGGTGGCTTTATGTATCCGTAGACCAGGGGTCTCCAAACTATGGCCCTCCAGGTGTTGAGGAACATCAAGTCCCATGAGGCTTGGCCCTTGGAAGACTCTGACAGCCACAGGCATGACTCCCAGAGGCATAATGGGACTTGTAGTACTTCAGCAGCTGGAGGGCCATAGTTTGGAGACCCCTGTTGTGGAGTATGCACAAAGAGGACGCCCCAGTGTGGGGGGTCGGGGGGGAGTGATAAAGCCAAGAACTGTGGAATGCAAATCTCACCATTGGAGCCTTCAACAGATTCAACAGCCCAACAATCTCTCAGAATATAAAAACCGTCCTTCTATTTGTGTGTTTTCTGGTGTTGAACAAGGCCTCCTTTGTGAACGAAACTTTTTCCGCACACTGAGCATGAAAAAGGACGCTCCCCCGTGTGACTTCTCTGGTGTATAACAAGCGCGGTTTTCATAATGAAACCTTTCCCGCACACTGAACATGAATGAGGACGCTCGCCTGTGTGAAGTTTCTGATGTATACCAAGTGCTCCCTTCTGGGTGAAAGATTTTCCACACACTGAGCATGAATAAGGACGCTCGCCTGTATGGCTTCTGTGGTGTATCAGAAGTTTGGCTTTCTCAGGGAAACTTTTTCCACACACTGAACAAGAATAAGGACGCTCCCCCGTGTGACCTCTCTGATGTGATACAAGACCAGCTCTGTGAGTGAAACTTTTACCGCACTCTGAACATTTATAAGGGCGCTCGCCTGTGTGACTTCTCTGGTGTGAAATAAGGCCTGCTCTGTGAGTGAAACGTTTCCCGCACTCTGAACATGAATAAGGTCGCTCACCCGTGTGACATCTCTGATGTTCAACGAGATTGATTTTGTGAGTGAAACATTTCCCGCACGCTGAGCATGAATAAGGACGTTCACCTGAGTGACTTCTCTGGTGTTGAAGAAGTGTCTTTTTCAGAATGAAACATTTTCCACACGCTGAGCATGCATAAGGACGCTCGCCCGTGTGACTTCTCTGGTGATTAATAAGGTCTGATTTGGCAGTAAAGGAAAACCCGCACTCTAAACATGAAAAAGGACGCTCGCCCGTGTGACTTCTTTGATGTTTAGTAAGGTTTCCTTTTTGACTGAAAGATTTCCCGCACTCTGCACATGGATACGGACGCTCACCCGTGTGATTTCTCTGGTGAGCAACAAGGCTCCCTTTGTGTACAAAACACTTCCCGCACTCTGAACATGAAAAAGGACGCTCCCCCGTGTGATTTCTCTGGTGCGAAAGAAAGTGTCCTTTCTGAGTGAAACATTTCCCACACTCTGAACATGAAAAAGGACGCTGACCTGTGTGAATTCTCTGGTGCAGGAGAAGGTTTCCTTTATCGGCAAAACACTTCCCACACACTGAACATGAATACGGACGCTTGCCTGTGTGACTTCTCTCGTGTCTCTGAAGACATCTTTTCTCACTGAAACGTTTCCCGCACACTGAACATGAATAGGGACGTTCACCCGTGTGAGTTCTTTCATGTATGTCAAGTGATTTCTTAACAGTAAAACCCTTCCCACACTCTGAACATGAGAAAGGACGCTCGCCCGTGTGGAGTCTCTTGTGTCTAACAAGGTTTCCCTTTAAAGTGAAAGATTTCCCGCACTCTGAACAGGAGAAAGGACGCTCACTTTTGTGAATTCTTTGGTGTATCAGAAGGTATCTGTTTTCAGTGAAGGATATCCCACACACTGAACATGACAATGAATGCTCTCCTGCTTGACTTCCTTCACGTCTTAAAGAGGATTCCTTGGGCTTAGATGGATCTGTTGAGTGATTCATATTCTGAGATTTTAGATGTTTTTCTGGAGTAACAATGTGGGATTTATCTGTTGATTTCTCAGGATTAGAGGGATCCATTGATCTTTGTAAACGGTCAGCTCTGCGAGGTTTATTATCAGTAATGGGATTTACAACTGGAGAACGTTGGGTGATGCCACCATCATCTTCATTATGGCATGTAGATTGTCCCTCAGAGGTTTTCCTGTTACGACCGTTGGGTCCGTCTGTTGGAGAGAAATGTGAAAAAACAAAAATATAGTGTAGGTACTCTTCATGCTTAACATTCAGGAGTCATATGTTGTTCCACAGTTAGGATCAAATATAACACCAAACTAGGAATACAAACCAGGTCAAGGATGGAATCCACCCAAACTGAACTGGGTTATAGAATGTGTATGGTGATGGCATTGTTACTGTGGCAATGGAACTTCCTATGTTCTAAGGAACATACTAAAAAACAGAGATGGACCTTCCATATGGTGTCCAGTATCTCCTCATTTGTTGGGAACATGACGTTATATTGAGGAATGGAGATGGACCTTTCATATGGTGTCCAGTATCTCCTCCTCATTTGTTGGGAACATGACGTTGTATTGAGGAATGGAGATGGACCTTTCATTTGGCGTCCAGTATCTCCTCCTCATTTGTTGGGAACATGACGTTATATTGAGGAATGGAGATGGACCTTTCATATGGCGTCCAGTATCTCCTCCTCATTTGTTGAAAACATGACGTTATATTGAGGAATGGAGATGGACCTTTCATATGGTGTCCAGTATCTCCTCCTCATTTGTTGGGAACATGACGTTATATTGAGGAATGGAGATGGACCTTTCATATGGCGTCCAGTATCTCCGCCTCATTTGTTGGGACATGACGTTATATTGAGGAATGGAGATGGACCTTTCATATGGTGTACAGTATCTCCTCCTCATTTGTTGAAAACATGACGTTATATTGAGGAATGGAGATGGACCTTTCATATGGTGTCCAGTATCTCCGCCTCATTTGTGGGGACATGACGTTATATTGAGGAATGGAGATGGACCTTCCATATGGTGTCCAGTATCTCCGCCTCATTTGTTGGGACATGACATTATATTGAGAATGGAGATGGACCTTTCATATGGCATACAGTATCTACATCTTTGTTGTGAAAATACTGCTTATTTTTTGGGATGGGGGGGAATTAAGTACAAAGATTACATTCTTCTGATGAGGACCAAGGTTTGTGTAGTATTTGGTGTACAATACTTCTACTTGTTAGGGACATTGGGGTAGGTACATGGATGATGTTCTTACCAGGTTATATGGGATTATTGTGTTAATCAGATGATGGGGGATCTAGGTGGAGCCTCCGTACTGCTCTCTCCTTTCCAATAAAGTCTCCTCTTACCCGGTGATGTGAGGGGCGGCTGATTGTCCATCATGACGTCCTTGTAGAGGTCCTTGTGTCCTTCTAAATACTCCCACTCCTCCATGGAGAAATAGACAGTGACATCCTGACACCTTATAGGAACCTGACACACACAATGATACAGTCACCATCCAGACACATCCCTTGTCTGTTACTGGAGAATGTCCCAGAATTCCCGGCACCGCTCACCTCTCCTGTCAGCAGCTCTATCATCTTCTTGGTGACTTCTAGAATCTTCTTGGCACTGGTTCCCTCTGTTGTCAGGCAGTGAGGTGGAGGCACTGTGATGGGTGACGTTCCATGAACACGGCTGCTGGGTGTTAATGGATCACCAGATACTTTATTCACTACTTTATAATCCTGCAAAGAAACAAAACAAAAAAAAATAGTATCACTACAGACCTCCCAGAATCCTCCATAATTCTCAGATTTTGTCAGGTGTTTAGTTATGGAGCGACGAGAAATGTCATGTGACCTCCCAGAATCTTCCTCACCTCTCCGGTCAGCAGGCAGATGATCTCCAGGGTGAGGTCTAATATCCTGTCAATCATATGACTTTGGCTCTTCTCCATCCTCATTGATGTGGCCATGGGAACCATTTAGGTGGTCATAAAATATATACAGGACTCTCCTCTCTGTAGACAAATAAACTGAGAATTATCTGGACTGTATTGGGATGCATAATGTCTGCTCAGAGTTCCTGCATAGTTCATGACATGTCAGCCCCACTTTAAAGAGAAATATTACCTGGTAAGTATTGGATTGGATAAATGGCTCTATATTTAGGACGTATCCGGTCTATAAACCAGAGGCTCTGGATGGACGGTTGGATAAATAATTCTATATTTAGGAGGATCCGGTCTATAAACCAGAGGCTCTGGATGGACGGTTGGATAAATGGTTCTATATTTAGGACGTATCCGGTCTATAAACCAGAGGCTCCGGATGGACGGTTGGATAAATGGTTCTATATTTAGGACGTATCCGGTCTATAAACCAGAGGCTCCGGATGGACGGTTGGATAAATGGTTCTATATTTAGGACGTATCCGGTCTATAAACCAGAGGCTCCGGATGGACGGTTGGATAAATGGTTCTATATTTAGGACGTATCCGGTCTATAAACCAGAGGCTCCGGATGGACGGTTGGATAAATGGTTCTACATTTAGGATGTATCCGGTCTATAAACCAGAGGCTCTGGATGGACGGTTGGATAAATGGTTCTATATTTAGGACGTATCCGGTCTATAAACCAGAGACTCTGGATGGACGGTTGGATAAATGGTTCTATATTTAGGACGTATCCGGTCTATAAACCAGAGGCTCTGGATGGACGGTTGGATAAATGGCTCTATATTTAGGACGTATCCGGTCTATAAACCAGAGGTTCTGAATAGACGGTTGGATAAATGGTTCTATATTTAGGACGTATCCGGTCTATAAACCAGAGGTTCTGAATGGACGGTTGGATAAATGGTTCTATATTTAGGACGTATCCGGTCTATAAACCAGAGGCTCTGGATGGACGGTTGGATAAATGGTTCTATATTTAGGACGTATCCGTCTATAAAATGATACATTGTATTACCTCCTCTGCTGTCAGTTCCAGCTTTGTCTTCTCTTTATTCACCCCTCACCTGGAACTTCCTGTCTGTATGTTATATCACTTCCTGTTTCTATCCAATGTCACTTCCTGTCTCTGCTGTCCATGGGCAATAAGTGAGATCGCCTCCTTGTGGAGAATATAAAACTACAGCTTACAATGTTTTTCAGCACAGACAGCTGCTTCTCGGGTCATTGCTTCATTTTATTGTATGTACAAGGGGTCTTTAAAAAGTTTGCTCACTTTTTTATATTTAATAGAGTTAAAAAAAAGTGCAAAAACTTGAAGAACCCTTCTATTAGCACTTATAATACAGACTTTTTATGTTTGCATTTTGCAAGTGTTTGTGCACAAGTATGGGAGCTCTTTGGTGGGATGAGAGCAGAGAACAGTTGTTCAGGTGCAAAAACGTGAAAATGCTTACAGCCCGCATCTAGAGGTACTGCCATTAAAGTCTATGGGGCCATAAAAGCTCAACACACCTCCACCTTGCTAGTGCCAAGAAAGCCTCCCCCACACCATGACACCACCACCACCAGCCTGAACCATTGATACAAGGCAGGATGGAGATTTTTTATTTATGTATTAATGTCATACATATCCATCAAACTTATGTATAAAAGTACAAAATATAAATAAATAAATAAATACAAAACTCAACACAAAGGAAACTAAAAAGTCCCAACAGTCCCTGGGGGAAAAAAACTCAAACACAGCCTGAAGGACTCATAAATAAAAGTCCATAACCTGAAAGGAAAATCTAAAGGTATATACAATATCTACAGTACAAGGCCTTTATGGCCGAGACCATATAATTAGGAGCCTTTATGGCTCAGATATAAACATAAACCATATTCAATTTCCATAATAAACCTGCCACTTACGGCCTATATGGCCTAAACTATATACAATAATAACCTAACAACACTATTACACTACGGGGGAGGGCTAAGGAACCCGCAGATCTTCCACGTCTGACCCCTACAACCTACCATGCAAAAGGCTACCAAAAAGACCGAAACGCAAAAGCTAGGGAGTGCAAGAGGCAGAAAACAGGGACAGTTCCCATCACCCGAGATCAACAGACCGCAGCAACAGGCTTGATGTTCCTCCACGCCTCCATCCAAGCCCTACGCCGCAGCCTGTCTTTCTCAAGACTCCATATTTTCCCAACCTCACCAAGGATGTCACTCACCACCATCGGAACAGAGAGGACCTTCTGCCGAATGGAGACCTGACACCGTGCCATTCAAGTGTAGTAACGGACAACTAAGCTGACTAGAAACAAGGTGTCCAAATCAAAACCCATGCGACGCTCGAATGCTCCGTACACCCACTCCGCATACGACATGCGATGGAGGAAAGGAACACCCAGAGCCCCTCCCACCTGTTTATACACCTCTACATTAAAGGGGCACTGAAGCACGAAGTGGTCCATAGTCTCCACTTCACCCCCACATTCCGACCTCGGACAACCACGGTCATCCGGAGGATGGTACTTCAGGTTACCCCTCACGTAGAGCCTGCCGTGGAAGGCGAGCCAGGCCTGGTCCCACAACTTCAGGGGGATCCGCTCCAGATTTATCAAGCGCAAACCCTCCCTCAAAACATGGTCTGGGCAATCTCTCAAGGCCAGCGGTGCATGGAAAGCAGACGCCACAATCCTCTCACCCAGGAGCCTCCTGGGGAGGGACCGGACCTTCTCTGCAGTCACATGCCACCGTCAGAGTAACTTCAGGTACGGGGCCACGTAAGCCGGGAGCTTACCATGCTTGACCCGCAGGCTTCTCAATGGCCCATCACTCTCCCAAATGTGCAGAAAAGGTCCAAACCAGATCCGGAACAGCCCTACCCAAGCAGGCGGTCTCTCTGCCAGCATACTACCAAAGTTATGTTTCAAGACCATCGGAGAGAAAAAGACCACCGGGTTGACCATACCTAGGCCACCCTCCCGCCTGGATGAGTAAGTCACATCCCTGTTGACGAGGTTCAGCCGATTCCCCCATAACAACTGGAAGAAACAGCTGTAGATCCTCGTATAGAGTGATTCTGGCAAGAGGCAAACAAAGCTGACATACAAAAAGACGGGGAGCAAGAAAGTCTTGATCAAGTCAACCCTTTCCCTCAAGGAGAGCCGCCACCCCTGCCAGCATCTCACCTTGACCTCAGCATCTGACAGTTGGTCTCTGTCAGAGCCTGGGCTTGAACCTGGGCCTTCTGCAGTGAGAGACAGTGTTTCTTCTCACTGAGCCACCTGGAATGCTGGACAGCTCCCTTGACAATTCTTGGATAATCCTGCCTTGTGCCTTGATTTCTCTTGAACCTTGAACTCCTTGCTCCCCCCATGAACTTCCTATAAAAGCCATGTCTCTGCACTTCCTGGTTGCCAGATTATTGTGCCTTACCAGCCAATATCCCGCTTACTGTTCCTGCTGCTGTCTTCATCTACGTTACCGACCTTTGGCTTGCTACTGACTACGATTCTGCCTCATCCTATCTACTACCATTGGTGACCGACCCTTGGCTTGTGACCGACTCCGCTTCTGTTTGATCCCTGAACTGTTTGATCCGCTTTTGGTTTCCAGCCTACTCATTCCCTGGTGGGGTGATCCTGAGATCTGCGACCTGGCATTCACACGCCGCCAAATCCATCTCCACCATTAGGAGCTCTGGGGAAGACCGGTGGAGGCTTAGACCCCGCACCTCAGGTGAGCCTGTGTCATTCCCAGGGTGGGCCGCTGGTGTACCAATCCTGCTGGTTTCAGGTAAGCCTTACAACTGCTGTAGCAACTGGTCTCTGAACCTGATCCAGACCGTGACAGAATAATCTGGCCCAAACATGGAGGCCGCTATAGCAAGTGTTGTGACTCCTCTTAGGCAGCAAATTGCTGAGCTGCAGGAATTCGGGGTTACCTATCAAGAGAAAGTTGCCAAACTAGAAAACATTGTGGATAGGCAACAGGGAGAGATTCAGGCTCTGCAGAGACAACTGCTGAACCGAGATGATCCTAGCTCACATATGCCCCAACCATCTTAGTTTAATGGAGACCGCCGCCACTACAGGGGTTTCCTTAATCAATGTTGTGTATATTTCCAAATGTACCCTGCTGCGTTTCCTTCAGAGAAAAAGAAGGTAATGTTTATTATTGAGCTTCTGACTGGGGAAGCTCTAGCTTGGGCCTCCCCTTATATAGAGCAGAACCATAGCATTCTGAATAATTTTGATACCTTTTTGACCGCAATGAATCAGGTTTTTGATGATCCCAACCGTTGTGCTACTGCCGAAGCAAATTGCATAGTCTGCGGCAGGGTAGACGCTCGGTCATTGAATATACAGCCGAATTCAGAAGTTGGATGGCAGATACCACTTGGAACCCTGCAGCACAAAAGAGCCAGTTCCGCCAAGGGCTTTCTGAACAGGTAAAGGATGAGCTTGCCAGAGTAGATATTCCTAATGATCTTGAGGAATTTATCCAGTTGTGTATCCAAATCGATTAAAGACTTACAGAAAGGAAGGAGAGGTTGGGAATGTTTGGAGGTAATACGGGCATGCATCTCTCTGCTAGTCCATTTGTTCAGCAGGATTCAAGAGTCTCTCTGGGTTCTAACACTCCTGAGCCTATGCAGGTTGATGCTACCAAGAGATCCATTTCCATTTCAGGAGAAAGAGAGAAGACGTTCAGAGAACTTATGTCTATATTGTGGGGATTCTGGTCATTATGCAATTAATTGTCCTAACAAGGTTAGATGAACAATTGCTGTGACTGATGTGATTGCGCCTGAACAAATAAACTCTATAAGCCAGTCTGTCTCCCCACTGATTCCTGAAGAGAATAAAGTGAACTTCCTGCTTTCTTGTTTTGTTATCCCCATTAAACTGGTATCGGAGGGCCATGAAATTTCCTGTTCAGCTATGCTGGACTCTGGGGCTGGGGGGAACTTTATGGATATAGAGTTCGCTCACAACCATAACATTCAAGCCAGAAATACATTTAC